GACCGATCGCGCGACTGGTCGCCAGTCGCTAGCGACCGGTCGTGGACTATGAAAGATGCCATCCGGGACTCGATTCCCATATCATGTGGGAGATATTGTGCCACCTGCCGCTACCCCACCTCCACCCACCTAGCTATGAGAGCACCACATAAAGGGTTCTATGAATATAACTTATAGGATAATACACATGCCCTCACTCATCTTGTATGTTAAAAGTTGAAACTGACTCAGAAGAGAAAAATCTACGCAGATCCTGCTGGATGAGCCATGCTGAAGCTGGAAATAAAATAGAATGAAATTAATTTTTTTCCAAGTCCATGAAGATTGTTGATCGGCATCCTCTCAAACGCCATGAGAATTCTGCAATATCTGATTAGTGTCCCAAAAAAATGGTGTAGGGCTATTCGATTCTATGACTACCTTTTACTGACGAATTCATGGTACTTGCTATTTCGTTGCCTAAAGACTTTCTTGCCTTTTAGAACTTTGGAAACATTACCAATGACGTGACTCAAGCAAAGGATAGCTGATTGGTAGAAGACAGATGACTTTTGAAAGTGATCAGTGAACCTAAAAATAAACGGGCAAAGGTCTGGCCGTCTATTTTTAGGGTCACTACATGTTTTGATGCCATTTTTTCGTTTTGAAAACACTAGAACAACATGAGACAGGAAAGAGGGGAAGGTAAAACATCTGGCAACGCCCTTTCGTCATCAGGGCATGATATCAGTTCTATTCCGGTCCGCTTTGTTTCGAACCTACCACGCTCATCAAAGGGACTGCGGTCTGATTCGTGACATCGGATCCACTTTTTGAAGTTTAAACCTTCAATTCATGATGCTCGAATTCCCTGTCGAAAATTCTCAAGAAAAAGATCTGGAAGACTCTTTGCCGTAGGAGGCCTTTCATGAAAACATTATTTTGAGGTTCCATTTAGCTTGCTCTCTGGGGTGGGCTTGCAGCATTGCACCTTAGCCATGCCTTTAGGAAGTCTTATGTGCATTGTGGCCATCCACGGTTAGACACTGTACTGGATAGGAAAGGATGTTCTAGGCCGCCTGACTCTTTTTTACTTGAATTTTTTAGCATATTGTCAAATGGAATTCTCTCAACATTGTAATTACAACCGGAAGCCCAAATCGGAAAGGCTGGGAGCCTTCCAATTTTTCTGAATTTGCCAGGAATACCTTAAGGGATAGAAATATGTGGTAATCAAAAGGAGGAGTGTAGGGGACTGGGGGTGGACGGGTCTTCGTAGCTATAAGATATGCAGCCTGGCGAGAAAGTGGGCAGAAGAAGGGGAGCATCCATTAAAACACCTTTTCATTCCTCTTTTATAGGGACTTCTTTCTAATTTTACTATGTAATGTCTACAATAAGAAAAAATTAAAAATTCAATTTCATCTAATCTCATCTCATTGAAAGTTAGTCACTATGTATGACTTTTTGATATTGTATACTTCAGTCAAAGATCTTCAGGTTGCTCCAAGTTGCTGCCACACGTGTTCTTCACATCATCCCAGTATGACCCTGTGTCGCAGCACCTGTTTTCTGTTCGATTCCTTGCTCATTACAGACTCAGCACGTGTTTTCTGCTTGCTGTGGCTGTTCTCTGTCCATTGCTCGATTTCCTGCAAACTGCAGCCCTCACACGTGTTTCTTGTTTACGCTGGCCAGAAATGAGGCAGTGATCAGTGATCCCGCGGCTCTTAGCTGACTGAAAAAAAAGCGTAAACAACCACCGCAATATATAAAAACATGGTCGATGTTCGGCCCCGTTGATCACGTGTGGCCCCGTCTCCTGTTTAAAACTCTAAAGAATGGTGCTTCTCATGTGTTTCTTCTCGGCTTCTCAAACATCTTAAGGTTGCCTTTCACTTCGTGATTTAGCCGCTGTTGTCGTTTTCGACTTGAGTTTCCGTTGTTTAACAAAGTTAGGCTCTATTTATTGTGACTTTCCTTAACGGAAAATTGTGGTTCGAGTCCCTTCCAAGGCCGAATTTTTATCCATAATTCCCTAATCTATGAAGTTACTGACATGTTAAGAAAACAGAAGTTATCATTTGGAGTCGGGGTCCAGGGTGTTGACAATGCCTGAAAGGTCGGAATGTGAGCAAAAACTGATGTTCTACCACCTAGCTACAAATGGACAAGAAACATAGCTTTGAGGAATTTTGCTGTTTTCGTAATGACTGAGTCAAATTGTCTTTCCCATGTTGCTAATCATTCTGAATTTGCAGATAATCTACTCTACAAAACTCTACAAATGTCTTCGAATTCGGAAAGAGACGTTAGTTACTTCCTCTTTATAATATCTTTACTATGACTGAAGTATGAATTTAGTGTAAATTCAATTGCGACAAGGAATACAAGGATCGCCAGGAAACTGGACGACGCCAACAGATGGGCGAAGCAGCTGACAGCAAACTGAATGACCATGAAAATGCCGTGGATAACTGCGCTGATAAGGTGATCGACTATTAATTGATTCGATTAATAATTTGAAAAAAAAATAATGATTCAAGGCCGGAGCTCTGAGGGATGATAGAAAAAGACAGCCAGACTCACATGGAATGCCCTAAGCAGCAGAATCATCTACAGTGCCATGCTCTCTCTTTGTAAATACCGTATTTTGTAAATATTTCGTATGTTTTAGCAATAGATTTTTCCATACTTACTTGGTTGTGTCGAATAAAAATTACTAGGAATAGTTGTTCGCATTACTACAACTTCAAATAGGGTTCGTGAACATCCCCGATCACGGCAGCCTAAGCGTAAAAGGAATTAGGCTCTTGGACAGTGAGGGCTTGAACAGTGCAATGGCACTGTATGGATTGGACAACAGCTCTGGAATGCACCACGCTTGCGACTTCTGTCCAGAGTTAGGGGGGGGGGGTTGAATGCGTAATTGGCATGTACTTTGACTAGCGAGGACCTTTATTTCTTCAGAAGAATGCTGGTCCCGGTTCATGGACGATGGGCTATGTTTAACATAGGCACCCTGTTGGTAACATCTTCACATGCCAGGACCACTGAAACATTTCGACTTATCCGCAGACTTTTTTAGTGCTGGTAAGGATGATGCTGTTCAGAGATTATTCAAACCACATATAAGGTCTCGTGGCAGCAGCGGATTCCAAGTAAATAGGCATTTTGAATTATCTATTAAGTCACATTGCACTGATCGGAAGCCCATGCTTAATAAATGTCCCAACATTAAAAAATCTTTACAGCACGGCAGCAAAGAAGCATTGGCTTGATTCTTCTCACAAGAGCCTTAGTTTAAGCTCTAGTTGAGAAGCAACTGCCGATTGAGTTGAGTTGAGATGATTCCCTGGCACATCCAGTGTATTCCAATTCTGATCCAATTTTCAAGACTCGTAAAACTAATTCTTGGCCCCATATTCCTTGCATGAGCTGTCGAACATGAAATGTGCCCTTTCTCATTTGAACTCCGGAATCACGCTCAGGCGGAGAGGGGATGATCCCAGGATTCTTACAGATCCTATCGAAAACCGGAGAAAAGAATATTAAATTAAATAGGCTAGAGACCTACAACTACAACGACAATTTTTGTAACTGCTGGACAGGTAGCTTATTATAGCGTTTTGTTCGCTGAATCTCCAGAGGAAAACTCCAAATTAAATTCAACTCCATGTAGAATTCTTTGTGGAGAATAAGCAGACCGCTCCATGGGAAATTATAAAGTACGTTCTTGTGTATGGAGAATTCTGCTGATAATCATCGTAGTCCGCTGCATTCCTTCATATTTGGTCTTTTGCAGGCTCATGGGGAATCCCCCATTTGTAATATACTCACATAAGCGACCAATGATCAAACAACTACGGACACGAGCTCCTGTTTTGGGAAGCTTTTCGTTCTTGACGTTCGTTGGCATGAGCAGAAGCAGTATTGAAGGCAGTGACTTATAACCTATTTTAGGCAGTAATTTTACACTACCAAACGTCGTTCCCTTGAAATTTTTCGGGTGAATAGGACAACTTCGGCAATGTACGGTTTACTACACAAGTCCGAAAAGAAAATTGTGGTCGATGACCATTGGCCTCGCACCGAGTAGGGTAAACATCAGAGAGTTCTATAAAAGGCGGTCGTCCGCACTCCGGAACCATCATCGTCCTCCACTTGTCCTCTTTCTCCAGTAGCTTCTGACCTGTGGTAGCTTCGTTCTTTCATAGACTCTGCCAAGCCTTTTCTACAGTCTTCTTTTGTTTTTATTCCCCGTTCTTTCCTCTCTGCTTTCCTCTTCAATTTTGTCTAATTATGGTCCCTTGCAGATAAAACCTACCTACAACTAACTACAGCTACAATGGAGTGCAACGTAAGTCCTTTTCACCATTGACTTCACGTCAAAATTTCTTCCTTCGATGAATCACCACGTAATTCAGAATGGATGTCGCCACGACCATAAAGTTCAAGAGCTCGGAAACGCTGCCAAAGAGAAGGCTAATGATGCTAGCAGAGCCATTAAAAATGCAGCTGAATACGTCGGCGATAAGGTGGGCACGACTGGACACTTTCGTCTTCTCCAAGATAACTTCTTCTAACTTTCACTGTTGCAGGCTGGAGAACTGAAAAATAAGACGAAGCAGAAGATTCAAGAAGGAGCCGACGCCATCAAGAGTCACTAGACATAATTTGAAAATCTTGCCATGTTCATATGTACATTTAAATGACAGCTGCCATTAAAAGACATTATTAATCCAATAAACTTCGAAGTATATCAATGTTTTCTTTCTGATAAAAAGTTGTGGAAGAGGGCGGAGGTGGTTCAGTGGCAATTGGCGCATGTCACACACACTCAGTCCTCGGTTTGAGTCGAGACACGTGAGGGACTAATGATTCGAACGTGGCCTATGCAATGAGCTGCAGTGGCCAGCCTGGGTCGACCAAGCCTTCTATTCCCTCAGGGTTGGTTGTTCGGTACCGGACTTGTCTGGGAGAAGGAAAGCATTAACTTGTACATCGGCTGGCCACTGCAGGCATTGCATAGGCTACGTACGCATTCATTACGTCACTACGATTCTGTATGAAATTGAAATGCGGGGCGCAACCCTCAAAA